TCTTGGAATTCCCAGTATCAAGTCATTGGAGATCTCTGTCTGTGTCTCAAGGCAATTTGCATAAAAAGATATTTTTGTGGTCTTTGTCCTGCCCACATCATGAACCTGTAAGTGCAACCAGCACCTCCAAAATACAGAACAGAACTGAAGACTTCCCCACACGTTGTAAGGCTCTTCCAGAAGTTAATGTCTGTCTGAAGATGGCATGAAATGCTGCAGCAGTTAACTTCCAGTATTTCGTGGGACTGGATATTTCTTCCAGAAGAGAGATTCACTCAGCTGTGAAGGTTTCCTCTGTCACTTCAGAAATAGCCACATTAGCTGAAGCTTTAATTCCTGCATGTGGTTAATTTATAAAGTGAAACAAAGTGTACTTGTTAGACAAACTGCATAATGATGAATCCAGAGGGGAAAAAATAGAAAGGAGGTACTAGGAGAACCACATGTGAAAACCACATGGAAGGGTGTTCCACCAGCTTGGAACCAGATGGAAGAAAACACTGTCCCTGGACACTGTACAGAGTCCTACTGATAACACATGATAAATCATTCACTGAGTGTAAGCAGGAGAGTGAACATCACCACAGGCCAAGCTGTGCAGGGACAACAGGACCACGAGCTGGAGGACATTAAATAAAAGGACAGCATGAAAAGCTCAGATGTTACCCCCTCGTGTAGATCTAATCTATTATCGGTGGGGACGCCAGAAGAGCTGCAGAAAGGAACAAAAGCAGAGCAGCAGGGGTGGAATGCACTGAAGGAAACCACAACACAGCCAAATCTGCAATAATGAGAGGCTGAACAGGGATAGCAGAATTGTCTAGATATTCACCCCTGCAAAGAAGAGATGAACTTAGCCCTGTCCCCAGGCACTAACTTTGCTGTGTGAGCTTTGACAAGTCATTTAAGGTCATCTGAAGTCAAAGTGCACCCTCCCATTCACTCCAAAGCACTGCTGCCTTCCCAGCCACACTGTGTTTCCCAGAGAGTCTAAATCCTTCTTCCACGCTCCTGCCTGTTTGACTTGAGGGTTCTCTGGGACAACACCTGTCTTCTCAGGAAGGACAACTGCTCCTGACACCAGAGGACTCCAGGTCAGAAGACAGGACTGCAAAACACACCTAAATGACACTCAGAAGTAAGCTGGACAGAAGGTGGCTGTGCTTAATGATCAATAATAATTTATTTACAGCCATCAGTGTAAAAAAGCACAGATTCCTGCAGGAGTCCTGCTCGACATAAATGGCCTGTTACGATGATGTGGAGCTGCGGATTTCAGATTGACAACTAGTTAAAGCTCTACATCCAGCTGAACTCTCCAGTCCTGCTCATGGCCTGAGAGGTCATTCCCAACCACGACTCCCCTGCTCTTGCCAGTCTTCTCATTTCTTGGGTCACGGGGAATTTTCCGATAGGGAGGAGGGAAATGATAAATATGACTGCTTCGTGTTCCCATGTGCACAGTTGTCTGTGTAAGCACCAAATGACTTTAAAAAGGCCTGAAACTTCTCTTCCAAGTGCAGTGAATTTTTTTTAAAGGCAGAAGCCTCTGTAACAGACCCCAGAGCCGGATGGGTCACTGTGCACGGAGAGACACACACAGGCAGGGAAGCTGACCAAAACACATGCGTGTAGGACCACCAAGGACGACCCTAATTAGACCACCCAGCCACTTTGTTGGCCCTATTTAGAGGAGCCAGGATCTCAGAGCATAAAACAGTGTCCTCGTGCGGGTTCCTTGGCCTGTGTTTTAGACCATCACGTATCTCCAGCGACTTCCTGCGACTGACCCTCGCAATAAATCACCCTAGCCAGCCTCCCTCCTTCCTGGCAACATCCTGTTCCTCCCTCAAAAATCCTCCCACTCGCAATTCCAAGGTTTGATATCAATCTTAAATAAATGCCTCTCTGGACCCTGCTGCATTCCCAAAGCCACCTTGTCTCCTGCCTCTCCAGGACGGCTGCAGTTCAGGAAGCACATGCAGAAGCCCCTCAGGCCTTGTTAATTTTACTTCCACCCTTGTGTCCTCTTTCTTTTCCCCATATTTTCTTACAGAGGGGGGAAGTTATCTTCAGGAGAATGTACATTGCCACACAACTGTGTGCTGTGACTTCTGAGAGGGAAAAATGATAGCCCAAAAGAGAGGCAGTGCTGCAATTTCCTATATGAAATATGGTGAGAAGAAAAAGCCATGGGAGAGGTTCTGCTCCATTGCCTCCCTTGCTCTGGCTTCCCTCACTTCACAGTTTAGGTGAAGGAAAGCTCTGTCAGTACCTCTACCCCTCAGAGTCCCTTCTTCAGCATCCAACAGACAGGGACCAGCTGTCTCCATCTGACCTTTCCAATTCCCACCCAAAGCCCTGCTTGAATTAGGGTATCCCAGTCAGGAAAGCACCAGCCTTTACTCCCCACAACACCACTGCAGAAAGCACAGGCACCTACAGCAAGTCAGCCAGCCCAGGGTATCCCAGTCCCTTCCTTCAGATAAACAACTTGAACCAAGCAGGATGAATCCAGGTCCTGACACGAGTTATGTCTCTGAAAGCCCATGGAATAACTTGCAGCCAAAAGGAGCCACATTTACCCCTTGATCCAGCAATGTCACTGAAGACTGGTTCAGGTTGGACTTCATTTAATTTTTACTCAGGAACTTTTTCCCCATATATTTCATTATTTCATCACTTCTGTAACCCTTTCAGTTACTGAATTTATCCCTTCACCCTCAAAACCTTATGCTTGGTGCCTTGCAGGCCACAATCCTTCCAAAGAAGGATTCCGTATCAGTGAGATTTGCCTGCTTAAATGTCACATTTACAAGGTGATACTGGTGCTTACCTGCTTGCCTACTCCTCTTTTTTTATCTTCCCCTGCTCTACCCTCATCCTTCCTTCCCTTTACAGAGTGCCAAAATGCCCCCTGATCATCTAATCCCGGAGTTCATTTCCATGAGAATCTGTTTCTGGCTGGAGAAGAATTCCTTGAGTCTCCCCAGACCTGCATCTCTTTTTATTCAAAAAAAAAAATCTAAGTTGTAACTAATTCATTAGCAATTCACTTGACAACGAGCCAGCGAGCATCTTCAAGAGAAGCAGCAGCGAACCAGCAGATTTCCGAGTCGGAAGCAAAAAAAAAAAAAAAAAAGCTGGAGAAGCAGCAAAGCAAAGAGGCTTTAGTCAGAAAAAAACGAAGTGGGGTGAATAAGATGGCATGGCAGGCTCCTAAAATGCCCTCGGAGTTTATAAAGTAATCTTATTCCTCGGCTGCCCTCCCTCTCCTTATCGTGCAGCTCGCTCAGGCATGTCCCTGACATATGTACTTAGCAGCAGTTATCGTCAGTGGCACAGAAATAAATGGCAGGTATCAAAGAATCAAGGTCGTCAACTCGCCATGAATATTTCAGGGGGAAAAAGCGACGTGAAAAGCTCGAGTGTCCCAGCCTCTCAGATTCCCAACAGAAGGAATAAAACACAACCCACACACACACACACAGAGCAGGCTCGGCCGTCACAAGCACGTAGCTCATTTCAAGGCGATGCCACATATGTTACGAGACAATCTGTCACGCTTTAAAAATATACAAATATATATTAGATATCTCCTCCTGCGTAATGTGCAAACTCTAAGCAGCTGGCAAGAGGGCAGTGGTGATTTAATGCAAGAAAACTGTGCTTTGCTGAAGGGGCTGGGGACTGGGGAGCTCGGGCTGTAACGAGAAGCCTCTTTGACAAAGGCGCAGAGTGGCATCTTTTCACACAATTATATGTGGGTCACATTAACCTCTGCTGGGCAGGATTCCCCTGAGCTGCCTCTGTCTGCGTGTCTCCGTGAAGAAATCAAAGCAGAGATTCCTCTCTCCTTATCTTTCTCCTTTTTTTTTTTTTTTCACAGTATTGGGTGATGCAGTGAAAGGCTCGAGAGGAAAAAAGGGGGTTCCCAGCTCGTCACACACTGAGCTCCGGAGCAAACTCCACATTCAGGGCCCAGCAGTCCCATTAATGAGAGATGTTAATCAATGGAGAGATCTGAGATTTCAAGCTGAGTCAGTGCACCATAATATCCCATATATATTGCTATTTATAGCCAAAGAGACTTCGCTAAGTTTCCCTTTCCACACTTATGCCACGGAAACTATTTGAATTGTGCTCTGTGCATGAAGGGACAGATGGGCAGAAGACAGGCCCACGTTTTTTTCACAGGCTTTGGAGGTACAAATTTTCTCCTGTCAAGTACAACTCGAATTCATAAAGGGAAATTTCATCAAAACCATCATAATTAATTAAGTAAAGCAAAAAGTTCTTTACCAAATCATTTGGGTATTCCACTGTTCTGGGTTGGCTTGGGGTTTTTTCCCATGTTTGCAAGGAGTTTAAGTATCAGACAATTCCATGTCTGGGAGCAGGGTGGCAAACTTGCAATGAGATAAATTTCCCACTTTTAGTGCCTTGAAAGTCTGTTTTTTATAGATTTTTTTTGGTTTTCCAGGCACATCACCACACTCTTCACGGTACCTCTGGACTCAGCTGGTTTGATGTGGTCTATAACAAATGAACTTTATGTCCCATGGCAAACTGGATTTAAATGACAAGATCTTCTAAATTTGAGAAAGTCACCGTGGAAACCCTGCTTTCATTTGTATTAAAAGGGGCTCTTTCTCAAGGAACTGATTCTGGAAATGAAGGAAACATTCCTTGCAGTGACAACTGATACTCACACTGTCATTCAACTCCAATCACTGTGCTCATTCACACATTTGCAGTCCCAGTGGGCTGCAGGGGTTTGAACTTGCACAACACAGTAGCTGGAAAACCTTTGAAGGAGGCTGGAGACTGGGAGATAAGGACACAACTGGGAAGTGTCTGCCAAGACACCTAAAAGCAAAGATTAAACCCAAGGGTTTTAAAGGTATTTGAGCATTTTTCACGTGGTGAGATCAGTTCCAGATCATGGGCTGATATTAAAGTACACTGGGGCATTCCCAGAACCAGTAATTGCTGCTCACCTTTCACCCTCTGCTGCTCATTTCCCCTCCATGCCAAAGTGCTCTTTCCACTTGTTTGTGCCAGGAAAACTCCGTGTGACCAGGAGCTGAACCAGACAGAGGAACTTTCCTGCTTTAAACAAACAAACAAACAAACAAACAATCAGACATGTGAAACCTCTTTTTTTCCCCCCTTTCCAAGCCAGATGGCTCCTCCCATTCTGTTCCCAACCACAGGAGTAGCTGTGCCAGCAGAGCAGCAGGAACAAGAGGCCAGGAGACAACAAGTGTCTTAAACCAATGTTACCACCAAGCAATTTGTAATATCAAACCACAGGCTAAATCTCAACTAAAAGCTTTTCGGGTTCAGAGTGAAGACCTCTATTAAGATGAATTAAGCAATTCACAGTGTTCAGAGCTGCACTTTCAAATGCAGTTTAAATCTTTGTTTTCAACACTCACCTTTTTGTACTGAAAATGGCCTGAGAGAAACCAGCTAGGAAACCCATTAATTCCAGGTTTCTGTAGAAGAGGGGTTTGTGTATATTTTGTTTAATACAAAAGCCTATCTCTGCACTTGCAGTCACTGCCACTGTGACTCCACTGCACGCAGAGACACCAGAACTACCTTAAAATTCACTTGTACAGGTCCTGATAACCATCTAGGCTCAACAGCACAAGCTCAGCATAGACTAATTTGTCCTGACAAGATTATTTGCAAATTAGGTGAGGAGGTCAGACAGCTGCCCTATAACCACATAAAAGTGTAGCAAACACTGGCTTCAAGTTCAGACCCTACCTAATTTTTATGTGTTTTTCACAGGGCATTCACTTCACGTGCCCCCTCAGTGCCAGGTTTCACCCACTCTTAGGCCCAGTTTCAGGCAAGGATGTGTTGAAATCCCTTGTTCAGGCTGGATTTGCAGGTGTGTGCCCACCTCAGCCAGCTGAAAGGTGTGAAATAGAGTCTTCCCTCAGCTGGGAAGACTCCAGTGGTGGTGAGGCAGAAACTGGATCATTGGAATTCAACAGATGTAAAACCACCACAGGGGATGGGAGCGGGTTTTTCCTTGAATTAACAGAAAGAGTGGTTTCTGTGCTGGATGTAAGAGCCTTCCCCATCTGGAGGGCTAAACATCAGATGTTGTTGCTGTGAGAACAGTTTTGGATCACAATCACAACATCCTCCTCCATTAAGCTGTGCAAAGGGCCTGTCTCTGTGTTGTTGTGTGGAGGAATGAGCTGCCTGTCAGAGTATGAGGGATTTCCCATGCAAGGGGATCCAAACCCCATGGACTCACATGAACCCGTTCCAGATGTCTCCTCTGTTTGTTCTGACACGTGGCACGAGCATTGCCCAAGCGACAGGAGGAGCTGGAGGAGGCTTCACACTTGTCTTTAATTCTTTTTTTTTTTTTTTCATAGTCTATTTGGAAAACACATTGCTGGAGTTTATCCCCTTCTCTGTGCTTTTGGAATCTGGGAAGCACTGACAGAAGGAAGGATGGGCCATGGCACACCCTGTGAAAAACAAGGCACCAAAACATAATGACCCACATAAATAAGAAACTAAATCAAAGCTGTGGAAAAAGCTTCCTTTCACCACTTCAGGAACAAGGCTTTCTTATAACTTTGTCAAAACTTTTGGTTTTGAGAGTTTCAAAAGGATGTGGGGAAAGGAAAGGTGGTAGGATCCCTGAGAACACCTCATGGCCTCCCCCCATCTCATGTGTCTAACCTGAACCCCAAACTCACTGCTCTGTTAAAATGCCTTGGGGAATGGGGCAGTGCCTCAGGCAGGCAGGAGCCATTTATAACAAAATTATTTGTAACCTTTAGAGCAATTCTAAAAGCTGAATGGGTTTTTGTCTGAGCAAATCTGATGTATAAAGGGGGAGCCCCATCAGCAGGTGACACAACCCAGATGCCACAGTGACTTGACACTGACTTTACAGCACTCTGGAGAGAGGAAGCAACTTCCCCTTGATCAGGCAACACCCAGGACCTCTCCTGCATCACTGAACACTCCAAAACGCCCCATCTCGCCTACTCCCCCCAGACAAAATGAAATGTTGTCCCCCAGGCATCATTCATCAAAGCCAGGCCCCGTAATTAATAGCACCATTTGTTCAGGGGATTTCAACAGGTACTGAAATCCAAAGCATCAAAGCATGGACAGCCTCATCCTGGTCTGGCAGATATAAATATGCCAGGAAGGCTTCACGTGACTCAGGAATCATTGTCCCTCTGAAAAAAAGGGGTTTAAAGGTCTTTCAAAGCACTGAGATCTCAGTTCCAGCAGGGATGACCCTAAGAAAGCAGTGTTACATGAGGGAACCTCATGTCACCTCGTGTAAGGGGTTTTGGTCTTTTTGAGCAAGATTTTGGGCTGGAATTGTCTTCACAGAAGTGGGAACAGCCACAATTACAACAAATGCCAGAACTCTGAACGTGCAACAAACCCGGAGCAGGGAGGTACGACACAGCCTGGTACCTTTTCCTTTGGCAACACCTCCCAGCACAGCAGCAGGAACCAGGGAGTGGGTGTTGTGAAAAGGTTACTGCCCACCTCAGAAATTCAGCCCAGACTTCACCAGGCCAGCAACACAGGACTGAGCTGGAAACCCTTTCTCCTGCAGCGAGGAGGGCTCAGCCCAGCACAAGGTCTCAGCCTCCCGCTCAAAACTCATCAGCTCCCCCCGCAACAGTTTTTTGGGGGCCCGTGGTTTTTCGGCGGAATTCAGAGAACAAAACCTTGGTTCATTACATCACGGCTCCAGTAATGTCTAGGAAGGTTTCACGTTTGATAAAATCTCCCCGGATTACCTTCTGAGAGCCTTGAGGTCGGGGTCGCAGGGCTGGGAACGCGGGAATGATGTAAGTAACCACGGAATAGCTCACAGATCAGCTCCTCCCAGGGAAACTTGGGAGAGGCATCACTCATCCTTCAAGGCAATGGTGCAATTAGCTGAAGTCCAGGAGCTGCTATGCCTGTGGAGGGACAGGAAGAAACGGCCTGGAGTTAACACGAGCTCAGCCTCACTTAACACGTGCTCAGCCTCACTTTGCCCCTCATTATCCATCCCTCGGTGTCACAGTTCCCTCTGGGCATATTATCCCACCTCCTGCCTGTGGGGTTTGGAATCTCTCTGGGGAAAGAAGGTGAAAGGCCTGTGGGTTTGGATGGTGTGAGACCTTGTTCTCTGTCCTGGTTCTTTAAAAGGAGGGGAACCTCCTTAAAGTGGGGACTCACACCTGGAGCTTGGCTGTGGGGGTGTCAGAGAGGATGGGCAGGGGGCATCCCTTCCAAATCTTCACAAATCTTACCTCTGATATAAATAAATATAATATGATACAAACAACAACAACAACAACAACAATAACAATAATAATAGTAGTATAGATAAAAACGGCAAAACACACCAAAACCTGCCAAGCTACTCAGGGAGAACCTGAGGTAAAATTTCCCAAGAAATCATTAGTTTAAAAGGAATCTGTTTCATCCTTGTACATTCTGCCTTCAGGAGACAAACACTTAATTTTGCAATCTATTACTAACTGGCTAAGCCCTGTGCTTTGGTGGAGCACTGTATTGCACTGTATTCTGCCTCTCAGAGACAACAGTGGGAACCTCAAATCTTCACCTAAAGCTGTGCAGGCAAAATTTGTGTATTTAATAATGCAAGGATGGGCAGGAGGCAACCTTAAAATCCTCACCTCAGGTGACTTCTCCCATGTCACTCCAGTCAAAGACCAACTGAGACACAATAACCAAGAATTCTGATTCCCAGACTGTACTTATAGCCACTCATTCATGCTGCTTCTCATCAGAGCAATGTCACCATGAGACTTTTATTCAGCTGAGAGAGCAGAAGTGACAGCAGCTCTTTGTTGGGATTGGCCCCTGAGCTTCCCTTGTCACACCATAATTAGCTGATTGTTTTAGTGTAATTTGGGTGTTTCATTTGCAAACATGTTTGGATGGTTAATTCAAAGATAAAGCCCCAAAAGCAGAGAATGCAACAGTGTTATAAGCCCTAAGAATAAAAGGCTTCTCTTAACTAGGTGGCTCATCTCTTTTAACTTGCTTTCTGCTCCAGGCTTAACCAAAGTCTTTATTTTTCAGTCTTGAAACTCAAAGGAGCTGGAGCCTTTGTTCTAAGCACAAGAGCCAAGGACAGCACCTGGCTCAAAGAGCTGACTGCCCAAACCAGGCAACAGGTAAGAAACAAAATCAATATTAACACCACCTCCTCCTCCTCCTTATAAACCAGGAGATGAACCATGAGGAGGTGACACGACCTGCCTGGGATCACTTCAGCTGGAACAGAAGTCACAGGCTGGGTAATGGCTCGACCAGAAGACCACCCTTCCTCCTGACCAGGAGCTGGAGGTCTGGACACGAGTAGCCTGGCAAAGGAAGGATTACATGGTTCATACAGGTGACAGATACCCCAGGGCTTTGCCCAAACTACCTCCCCTCCATGCCCTGGCACAGGACCTTTGCCAAAGCAGCTGAACACAAACACCCCAGCCCGGTGTTGTTCCCAGCAGCCCATCTGCAGGCTCTGGCACTGAATTCCTGGTCGGTGCCTCCCTTTAGAACTGGAATCCAATTTACAAAGCCTTTAATTTTAAACTTTCTCATCACCGACTTAATAAAAGTAAATGACAGGTAATGGTCCCAGAAGCCAGGAACCATTAGGTCTTTCTCAACACTAATAAGGGCTGATCAGACGCTTGCGCGCTCCTTTTCCAGCTCACGGAAACCCAGGTCCCCGAGGACTCTGCAGCCGGGGGGAGAAACAGGAAACCAACCCTCTCGCAGGCAAGGCAAAAAGGGAGAGGAAAGGGAGAGGGGAAAAAAAAAAAAAAGAGATAAACTCATGTCGATGTGGACATTTAAAACTGGGAACGGGCAGCGGGACGGCTGCGGATAACGCCCGCGCCCCGCTCCGGGTTCATCTGGGGCCCACGTGCTCGCTCCATTTCCCCAGCAGGGCACTGGGGGCTCTCCGAGGCGCTACAGGCACCGTGGCTGCACAGAGCCATGCAGCAAACCGGCTCTGATTTCTGCCCAAAGGCATCAGTGTCACACCGGTTGGGATGTCAGCTCGGCAGAACGTCAAGGCAGCAGTCACGGTGTGCTGTCACAAAGAGAAATAGATATCATTTCAAACACACAGCTCTGCACAGAGGAGGGAGAGGCAGGAAAGAGAATCCCATAATGCACTTTTTTTTGGGGGGGGGAGAGAGGGACAGGGAGGCTTAACTCTGCTTTGGCCATTCGAGAGGAGGCAGCAGTAGGGGACAGTCTTATCTTCACAGCCAATGTGTCACCAGGCTGGGAGGGCAGGTGGGTACTCCAGAATGGACCTCATCTCTTCTAGACACTTTTGGTTAGAAAAAAAAGCATCTGGAATCAGCCTCCTAAGACTATTTCCTGATTTAAGGAGTTCCTTGGCCGGCACAAAGCTTTAGTCTTCACTTCTAGGACAAAGGAGAACGGTGGTAACAAACAGGGCTTCGGTGGTTTTTTGTCCTCCTCAAGTTACATCTCCACACTTCAGCGAAGGAGACTGCAAACCCAATCACATTCCTACCCCAACTGTCTGAGTGAAACCCAGGCCTTACAGTCTTCACATCCCAGGTCTAAGGTGATCCTGGCTCCATATATTGCAGGACACCCTTTCCCAGAGAAGGGTGGCTGTTACACTCAGATCTTCCCCCACTACAGAAGCCACCAAGGTGACTCAGGCATTACCTACAGACACTCCACCTCATCTACCTCATACCCAGGTGACAGAAAGTAACTGTGGCACTGTCAAGAGTGGAAAACACAAGGATCAGACTCTCCTTTTCCACTAGAAAAGAAGGACCATTCTGGGGCAGCTCCTCGCTCCTTCCTTTTCTTTTTGTCAGTATTGTCTGGCTTCTGCTTTTGTTTCACTGCTGTTCAGGGTGGCATTACACCTGCTGTGACTTCTCTTTCCCAGACCACACTTCTTCCACACTGATTTTCTGTCTTTCCATTTGCCATCCAGTGCACCCAGACAAAGGGAAAAAGAGAAGAGGGGAAAAAGAGACAGCTGGAAGGGAAAGAGAGAGGATTCTCCCCTCAGATCTGCTGGTTTGAACAGATACAGTTTCATGAGATACCTGCCAAGAGTCCTGCCCACAACAAACAGTGGCAGTGCCACAGTATTCCCAGTTATCTTCACCTCGGTTTAGGTGACCACATATCTGTATTTTCAAAGAAACACTTTTCAAGTAACACCTCTAAGTGTCACAAAAATGCCATCCAAGAGCACATGTATGTTACCAAAAAGAAAGGGGATGGAGTTAATTTTTGAGAGAAACCCGATATTTCCAAGAGCTGATTATTCCTTGTTCCCTGTAGATCATTCACTCTCTGCCCAGGTGCACAG